CAAATATGCCATGGTCACTAAGTCTTTAAAGCAGTTCACTCACATGGGGAACCTTTGACCTTGTACTAAACCTTTCAAAATCTTCTGTATCTTATTCTTACAGCTGACCTGATATCACTATGGCTGAGACCAACACTGGCAGTCAGGGCATACCATTTAACCACTATGCCCTTGTAAAGTTCACCCCAACCCCAGTACTGACTTCACAACATATCTCTACTACTTTGGTATTCAATTCAAGTTCTATCAAGCTCTCAAACCAGATAGCTTGGAAAGGCAGATCGTAACTATACACTTCTGGTTTACATGTTTGCTAGCATGTAACCTTTTCTTCTGGAATCTGAAAATTCCAGCAGCCTGGTTGGTTCTATTCGGCCCCTTCTCAAAGGCTAGCTCTTTGCCCAGTTTCACAAGTTCTAGCTCTGTTTTATAGGTCTAGTCTTTACAGTAGCATCGTCGAAAGTTTGGGTTACCTCTCTACTCGGATCTTCCAAGTGGCCTTTCATCTTTCTACCTGGTTCCTATAATTTACGGCCTAAGGACTTATCTTGAGTTCACACCGCCCGATACTAGTTTGTGTTCCTTTGTACAATATTGCACAAATGCCTAGACCTTCCAGTTAGGCTAGTATGACACAGGTTATAGGTATTCTATCCCAACCAATCACGGAAGACAGTTAGCTGTAACATAAAAAAAATTGCAAATTTTCACTATCACTGGGATTTGAACTCTAAACCTGCCACTTGGAGGTTGACAACCTATCCACTTCACTAGGTTGCCACACCCCTTTATTATAATAAGTTTAATTACAAGAGCAGTTTGAATTTGTATAAAAATAAGTGCCATATGAGCTAATTCGGGACATGCATAAAGTCTAGACATAGTACTCCAAAAAAATTTTAATGGTAGGTCAGGTTGTTTGACATTGTATTGTCTACTAAATAATGATAAGTCTTTAATTTACAATGTAATTATTAGATATCTGAACCTTAAGCTAAATAAAAAGCATTATTATTATATATAACTACTGTGTTCTAGTTATTTTTTCTTTTAAAAAATACTTTTACTAATTACCAAAAAAAAATTAATAAATAATATTAAACCATTAAAGGTTGCCTTTTGATTATGAGTTTACAATCTATCTCATTACCAAATATAACATCTACTTCTTCAACCTTTTTTGTCTGTTGTTCTATTTGTTTTCGAAATTTCAAGTCTGAAAGTGGACTTAAATAACATTATAATGCAATTAAAAATATAATATGCCACATAAAGATCTTGATGCAATTCCAAATACTTCATTGCAAGAATATAAAAATATTTTAATTCAACAAATACATCATCAATTACCATTAAGCTTTAGCAGAATAGAAAGAAACATATTATCAATCCCATGTACTGAAAGTCAATTTTTTGCTATTTTTGCAGAACATATTCATCAATTTTCTAACAACTCACGAGTATACAAATGTAGATTTCATGGAGAGTTGGCTTATTTGACTTTAACAAGAATTTTAGGAGATTCTAAATAGGGTCAAAAATGTTATAATCAGAATCAGCAAACATATATTGTTTTTGAATGGCTATCAAATCAACCATTTTGTTCTAATATTGATCAAAATCAAGATGATATTAATCCTATAGAATTAGTATTAAATAAAAATAAATTAAATAATAATAAAAAAAGAAGAACTCCAAAAATTACTTACAGTAAATTTCTGGTAGAATGAAAAAAAAAATTTGATCAAGAAGTAGATGGACATATTTGTATTGCAGAATTTATAATTTCATCTTTTTATATATCACAAAGACATTTATAAATCTGAACATAAAAATAAGATTGTTACAGTTATAGTATGTATTATATACAGAGAGAATTAATAAATTTCAGATATTATTTGCTTTAAATAAATTTTTTTTTTCTGATTTATAAATTAAGTTTATTAAAAATCACAAATAGTTATACTTTGGAATCTTCTGGGTATGCGAGTTTATTTTCATAAAAATTTAAAGATGGTAAAAAACAGTTTAAAACATCTTTAAAATATGATGATTAAAGTCCAAATACTGATTTAAATAATGCTCACTGTTTTT